ATTGAGAATAATCCTTCGACGTTATTGTGAATCCTCACCCGTGATTCCTTGAGTAATTGTCTTAGTTTTATTTATCCTTTTGAGATTTTATTTGAAGCCACAAAACTATCGTAATAATGCTAAAATATAATAATACTAGATTATCTAAATAAAGTTTTTTTAATTTACAATATTTAATAAAAAAAAATAATTTATAATTTCACTTTAGAAATTCATTTTAATATTTAAAAACTGACTCATTAACTAAAAATAGATAACTTTATTTTGAAAACTATAATTATTATACAAAAATAATTTGATATATTAAATAGTTTTACCTATTAATAAAAAATTTAAATATACTATTAATATTCTATTATAATAAATATGAAATAACTATAATAGAAATTTTTATTTTAGTATTATATTTTTTAAATAATAAAAGAAAAGCTTTTGAAAACCAAAAAAAAATCACAATAAAATTACAAACCTTAAGCCCAGTTTAATATATTTTTCATATTAAATAAGACAAGAAAAAACTTGAATCAAGTTTTAATGAATTAAATTAATAATTAAAAGAAAAAAGATCTCAAATCTGAGTGTTAAAACAAAGAATACTGAATTAGAAAATGAGTTATCAAGCTATCAATTTGCTTTTGAGTTACAATGATGGTAAAATATAAAGTTTAATTTAATGAAGATATTTTAACATTACTTGATACTTTAGAAAAATTTGAAACCTAAAATAGATGTTAATGTGAAAGAAGTGAAAAAGCTTTTAATGAGTATTGTAAATCAAACTAAAATTTCTGGTAAAGACTCAAACAAGTCACTTATTAAAGCTGTTTTACAGCATCATGTATTTTGAGAAATTTCAAATATGTGGATGAATATTTCACATGTATAAGTAAAGAATATTATCTTGAATCAGATATCGTCATAAATTAAATAAGTTAATTGAACTAATAGAATGATTTTGTAATATATGTGTTAGTGATAATGAAATAGCTCAAGTTATACCTATAAATTACGTTAACAAGTTTATGCTACATTTGGTACTCGAGAGTTTAACAATATTAAAAGATTTAATGAAGATTCTATATATGACTATATATGTCATATCTCAAAAAAAATTAATGAGATGATAAACATTTATCATATTATTAAAGATATAGATAAAAAAAATATGTGGATGCATTAGTGGAAAATTTATTTGTATTTTTTCATTGATATTATATGATTTATTTAATTAACTTGAACAAATGATAAAATTACATAACAACAATTAAATGAAATATAAATTTTATTGATTCATCAAACTTATAATACTTGATTTTTATTCAAAAAATATATTTATTCTTACATTATATATATATATTATTAAAAGAAAAGAAAGATAAAAAAGTATTTTTAAATATCTAAATCAAAAGAAGTTTTATAGATATTACCAGTATCAGTATTAATAGTGGTAATAAATATTTTAACACTATCAAATATCAGTGAGAATAAAACAGAATAATCATCATTATGCAGCTTAACAGAAAATTTGCCAAGTAGCTTAACAAGTAGGTCATCGATATATTACACTTCATCTTTGGTATAATATATAAATCAAAATATATTCTACGCTGTAACGCATTACAAGGTAAATATGATCTAATTACTTTCTTATCAATTGCTACTTATGTGCCTCGTTTTGCTAGTCTGTTAAATGTAATAATTCTGCTATTAAGTAATTTTCTTTCTTTTGGATTACTTTTTATCTATTTACCTATAATATCAGTTCTTATTGAGAAATTATAATGTTTAAAATTAAGATCTTAAATGAATAATAAAATATATAAATATATCCAAATATAATTAATATATTTATTATATGTTTATTTCAAAATATATGTGAAAACTACTTCTTCTTTCAAGTCATATTGTACAGCTAAATTTATATGTAGATTTAAAATTCAGTTTTAACATAATTATTGATTACAAGTTTTAATGTACTTCATTTCTACCTCCTTTAATTATAGCGGTAACTGGTTGAAAAGGTATAAAAATAACTCATAATTTTATACTGAATTCTTGTTTGATTCTAGATTGCAAATATTTTGATTCGCTAAATCTACTGATCAATATTAATGCAGAATAATTATTACTTGAATGTAATTGAGTATTGATTAATCATATAATTTTTTCTATAACTGGATCAAACATTACCTTAATATCTTCAAAATTTAATCAAACATTTCAATCATTTTATTCCATCCTATTCAAGTATTCTCCTTTATAGTATTTTTCTAAAATAGAGTAAAATTCTAAAAAGTATTTTTTAAAAGCAAACAAAAAAATTGTTAACTTTAATAATAATAATAATAATAAAAAGAATTAATATATTACTATCTAATTTCAAATCGATAGTAGAAAATTTTGATTTAACTCTGGTAAACTTTATTTTAACTTGTTTATAAAATTCTTGTATCATATGAGTTGATTGTTAGGAAAATCAGGTTTTGGGAATTTTTAATGAAATTGAGATTTTATTGCATTTTAGTTTTTGATGTTATTAGATTAAAATATATTAAGCTCTTAATTTTAATCAAAAATTTCTCAGAAACCTGAATTTCCTAGAAACACTCTCATATATTAAAGTTTAAAAAAAAATAAGATTTTTTTTTTAAAGATTATATTATATAAAATAAGTGTTTTTTTTGTTAAAAAAAAAAAATAAAAAAAAAATAAGATAAAATATAAATAGTTCAAATAAAAAAAATTGGAAAATTGAATCAATAATAATAATATTATTAATTATATAATAATAATTAATCATTAAATTAAATATTTAATAAAAATATACAAAAATTAATTTCTTATAAAAAATAAGGAAATATAATATAGAATTTCAAAAAAAAATATACAAACTTATTTAAAATAATGAAAAAATGTATGTAAATTTTTATAGAATTATATAATTCAAAATAATATTATTTATACTGATTTACTAGATTTACAACTGAAAATGAAATTAAATCAAAAAGTATTAACTTATTAAATTCACTAATATGATACTTTTAAATGTAATTGTCTAACTCCTTTATAAACAATATAAAAAATAATTTTTATAAAAATTTTCTAATACCACACATATTAATAAAAATTCTTATAGATATATTTATAAATATACAAAACCTTCAAATCAGTGGATAGTACCTTATTTTTCTAAAACTCTTTTAATCTGAAATGCATATATGAATATTCAATATATAATATCAAAAAATTTGCCAAATATATGACAAAAAATATAGCTAAGATAGAACTATTACATTTATTTAATATCACAGAAAATGATAAATTTAAGAAACACATAGTTGTTAGAAGATTAGGGATAATAGAGGTAATGTTTCTAATACTAGATAAAACAATTTGTAACTTATTCATTTAAGTAAAATATTTGAATACAAATCCTTTAAATATCAGATCAAAAGCAATCCTTCTAATATATTTATTAATAAATAAAAATGATGATTCTACTTCAAAAACCCAGTTAAAAAGTATATAAACAAATCTACAGATAATATATTTGATCTTTATTATTTTAAAAATTATATAATTCAAAATAATAAATTAAATACTAGAAGAAATACATATCAAGATTAATTAGAAAATTATATTATTAAAAGAATTAAGCCTACAATTATATGTTATTGATTTCTAAAAATTAATAATAAAAAATTATACTTCTATCAACTTTACTTAAGAGTATAATGAAAATGAATTGAAGAAAACTTATTTAATATATCATTATCATTATATATCTATGTATTTATATACAGTTAATAAAATATAATAATATATATAAAACTATACTAAATAAATAAACTAAATAATAAATTTAAGATATTTTAAAATTTAGATAAGTTATTCTTAAACTTTAAAATTATTATTTTATAAAATATATCAGAAATTTTAAGAAATCAATTAATTTTCTTAAAAATCTTATCTCTAATATTATTATAAGATATTACATATCAATTATCTTCTAATCAATATTATGATATATTTATCTTAAAATACTATTTTGAAAAAAGAGATGAGTAATAATAACTTTATTTTTTTTATTACTAGGATTAACTAGAATATGAACTTCTATATAATTCATTTATTAATAAATTCTTTTTAAAAGATAATAAATCAAATTATCTTTTGATAGCGTCTATTAGAATAGCTGTATAAATATTAAAGAAACTACAATATATTCTAATTTAAGAATAGTTATAATTCAAATAGGATTTTAAACTTTATCAATTTATGATAATAAATATAAAAACAAATTAAAAAAGATTGATATATTAATAATTAAAGAATTTTTATGGTATCATTACAACTCCTTGATTTTATATCAAATATATTTACTACTATATATAATAATACTTTAGCTTTAATATTGTTATTATTAGTAATTTAATATAATTTCTATCTATAACTAAATTATTAGTATTTAAATCATCCATTTAAAAGTTATTTTACCCTTTATATTTATGATAATCTCATTATCAATAAAATTAATTAAAATTTTATAATATATTAAAAAATATTAATTTAAATAATTTAATTGAGAAAATTTGAGAAAAATTACAAAGAAATTAATATTCTGAACGGTTCGGTTCAGTTTCAGATTGCAAAAATTTTAATCTGAAAATTTTCAGTTCAGTTCAGATTTTTTTCAGATTATAAAGCTAATCTGAATCGAAAAAATCCGAACTGAACCAAAAATTTCGGATTAATCTGAAATTTCAGATCATTTGGAATGATGAAATTATTGTTCTAAACAAACGATAAAAGGATTGTTCGATTGGAACGATAAAATTATCATTCCAAATGAACGATAAAGAATCGTTCAATTGGAATGATTAAATTATCATTCTAAATGAATGATAAAAGAATTGTTCATTTAGAATGATCAAATTATCGTTCCAAACGAACGATAAATAAATCATTCATTTGGAATGATCAAATTATCGTTCCAAACGAACGATAAATAAATCATTCATTTGGAATGATCAAATTATCATTCCAAATGAACGATAAGAAAATTGTTCAATTGGAATGATCAAATTATCATTCCAAAAGAACGATAAAAGAATCGTTTGATTGGAACAATTTAATTATCGTTCCAAACGAATGATAAGAAAATCGTTTGATTGGAATGATGAAAATATCATTCCAAACGAACGATAAGAAAATTGTTTGATTGAAATGATGAAATTATCATTTCAAATGAACGATAAGAAAATCGTTCGTTTGGAATGATCAAATTATCATTTCAAATGAACGATAAGAAAATTGTTCGTTTAGAACGATCAAATTATCATTCTTTTAGAATGATAAAAGAATCGTTCGATTGGAACGATCAAATTATTGTTCCAAAAGAACGATAAAAGAATCGTTCATTTGGAATGATTGAAGTTATCATTCCAAACGAACGATAAGAAAATCGTTTGATTGGAATGATCAAATTATCGTTCCAAATGAATGATAAGAAAATCGTTTGATTGGAATGATGAAAATATCATTCCAAATGAACGATAAGAAAATCGTTCAATTGGAATTATCAAATTATCATTCTAAATAAACGATAAAAGAATTGTTCATTTGAAACGATTGAAGATATCATTTCAAACGAATGATAAAAAATCGTTTGATTAGAATGATTAAATTATCGTTCTAAACGAATGATAAAAAAATCGTTCATTTGGAACGATTGATGTTATCATTCCAAACTAGGGTATTTAATTGATAAAAAAAATCATAATTGATGATTTGATCAGTCCTTCACTTACATGATCAATTAAAAATCGAATTACTTAATTAAACACA